GAGTTTCTTTTCACTGGGTCGGAACACTTTGGGGAAGCTTGGTTAGGGTGTGCCCCGCGATACAAAGACTTCCTGTCTGTCTACCACAATGCCCGAACGGCACGCCAGAATTCCTGCGACTTTCCTTTAGACTGAGGAGGTGTGTGTGTGTGTGTGTGTGTGTGTGTGTGTGCGCGAGTCATCTTAGCAATACTGAGCTGAGAAGTCTAACCACCTCTGCACTGGCGCACTTCAGATCCTTGCTGTCACGTTCCACCAAGGTGGCACCAGCAGGGAAAAGCCGCTGAAATGCTGGTGATAAAAACTAATTTGGAGGAGGAGAATAGAGTTAACCAGCAGGGCCTCCTGCACTGCAGCTCAGAGAGGGCCGGCCTTTGTCTCTCTTCCATCAATGCCCTCAGTCCTGGGAGAATAAGGAGGGGTTGAGTTGCTGCTCTCTTTTTGTGCCTCTCCCTGCATTAACTGTTGTTCATTTTGCTGCCTCTCTGTGACAATTGCCCTATGAACTGAGGCAGGAGGGTGCACAGCCATTTATTATTGCCAGTTTGTTTTACTGAATAGGAGTGTACATATATACGACGTTTTATCACTTACAGCATTGTGAAATCATCTGTTTTGTGTTTACTCCTGTCTGTTGGATCCTGCACGAGGCAGTTCTTTTCTTTCTGATTCAGGATCGCAGTGCAGCGATCTTTTTTCTTGCAGCTGGAGATGTTTGCCGTAGATATTTTACTTTATTTCCTTTCTTTTTTTTTTCGGTTGGAGAGTGGATGAAATCTAGAAACAACTGAGACTCTGGATTGCTGAGCTTTAAATAAATCAAATATGTCTACACGTCTCCGTCGCTCTCATGTGCTCATTTTGCCATTTTAAAATAAATAACATAAATAATGTTATTCAGAAGAATGTTTTTTTGTAACAGATAAATCAACATTTCATTATTTACACAATCAATCCACAGATGGGTTTTTTTTTTACACACTCTTTTAAACAGTTTGCACAGATGTTGTGGTCAGCTCATAACTGTGTCTGATGAAGTGTTGAGAAGTGCAATGAGCCCATGATCAATGAATAAAACAGACATTTCATGAGGCCCTCTGTTTAGACAGAATATGCTTTGGCCTCTTAAAAGGTGCCTTTGTGATGACTTAAATGACTTCCCACCCACTTTCTCATTGCATGCAGCATAATCTGTGTTTTTTTTTATTTATATCTGTCTGCACAGAAGAGGATTTAGTGCCAAAGTTCCCTTCAAGCTCATTTTTGTTTTCTTTCACTCTTTAATACATCTTTTCGCCCAGGAATCAGCTTCTTATGATAATAGGATAACCCTTCCTCGAAGTGAATTACAGAATCTTAGCTGGCCACAACTCTGAGCAGACTGAATCGGGCGTTTCTTTTGAGCCGTGTGGCCTGTGCATCATGGCCCAAGAAGATGAATAGACAGATGTGAGGCCCCCTGAAGCCCGGGGATCCTCCCCTTCAGCCCCTCCCAGGAGAAGGGAACAATTAATTGACTTTTAAAGCAACTGCTTTCTGAGCCTATTCCACACTTCTCCTTGGCTGAGCAGGGCTCACAAATTGGTGTGTTGAACGTTTTATGAGGACTAAATAGCTGCCAATGAAAGTGTAAATGACTGTGTGGTGAATGGGGCACACACAATGGCCCTGCGGCGACTAGGCCTCTGGCAGACATAATGACCATTGTCACGGCTGCTGTCATCTAGAAACCATCAGGGCTCATGAATGCAAGAAGTCAGAGGAGAGGAGAGCCCTCTGTTTTCTTTAACTCCATAAATATTTTCTCTTCTTGCGCATTTAGGCTCAGTTTCATATTCTAGTTGAGATTTTTCTCCATCATTCCTGTTAGTATTCATATTTGCTTCTGCCAAGGCACAGCAGCATATAGACCCAAAATGTGCTCATTTAGTAAAAGTTAATTTGTAATTACCTGTAGAAAATATAATTTGTTATGTGCATATTTTATTATAGTTCTAGCAGATGGGTAATATTTCTGGAGATCAGAGTTTTAGAAAAAAGCCCATTTTCTTCGCATGTGTCTCTGCAGAGATATCTGTGAGTATAAAAAGTGGATAAAGGTCTAAAAGTGCCTAATGTTGATGAATGGTCCACAAAAATGAAGGCTTCCACAAATGGTTTTTTTTAATCCTACGGAAGCACAGTTTGAAGTCTCCTCCTTCAGCTTTGTCCCAGGAGGCCACCATGTCAAATTTCCAAGCAAAATATAGTCTCTCTGCAGGCCTTTGAGACCACACTATTCTCATCTCTGGGAATTCCAGCAGGCTCTCATGGGGATCGAGCCTAGGAGGGCTCGGCCCGGAGCTGCTGCATGGTGCGCCGGCAGGAGTCCACCCAGACTGGGGGGTAATTGGTTTATCCCGCCGCCTGGTCTGCTTTCCCATGTGGGCCACTGCTGTGGGGAGGCCCAGGGGTACAATATGGAAACAGCATGAGACCCTCCAATGCCGAGCAGGCATTCACCGCTCCCGCTATAGAGACCTGGGACATGGGTAGCAGCAACACAAAGCTGAAGCAGAGATGTTTCTTCGCTCTGAAAAGATCGCTATTTGGTCTCCTTTTGAAAATGGGCAGCATTTGTGTTTGAAATAATCAAATTCTGACCAAAGCTTTAATAAAAAAAATACAAAGGGCATCAGTCTGAGAGCTTTTATAAAGTTGTGTCTTATTGCCATCATTCCAGCATCTGGTTGAACATTACTTTCTATCGCGCTCTTGGTAATTTGAAGCTGAAATAAAATTGCAGATACAGTCTAACACACAAATCCCAACCTAATCTCCAGATAAACAACATGTTTTTCTTTGTATTTGAAGAAGAGGCTGGTGAACTGAGTTCCATCATCAGCTGTAACTCTGATTTGAAATTAAACCTACTGCAGTGTGAAGCGTTGTACTGTTTTGTCTCCAACACTGCCAGTGAGAGAATGCAAAAACTTTACACAAACACACACACCTTTACTAATGTGAAATACGTCTAATTTTATTGTATAGGAAAGAAAAGTTGTTTTGCCCAGTCTCTGTCATCACATTTAGTGTTAGTCATAAAACTACCAGTGTTACTTGTTTGGCTTTTTTTTTTTACTCATAATGAACTTTCTACTTTTTTTTCTTGTTTCCTTTTTTGTTCTTTTCCTTTTGTCTTTGTCAGATTATCTGGCAATGATGCTTAACTGACTTTTTTTTCTATAAATATGTCGGCAAGAAGGCATATTTACAACATGCCCTGACATTGCGAGAGAGCACTCGCTAAGGTAAATGTGTAATGTATTTGCTGATTAGGTTTCTTTATTACCTTTTTTTCATGACAGGGGAAGATTAGGACAAAGCAGGGTGTAAGGGCACTGAATGCAGAGATGACGTATTACCTGAAAATGAAAAGTTCAGACTTGTCTGTTTTTCTTTCCCCCTGAAGGTCAAATTTCTTACGTGTCTTCTCAGAGCACAGTGTTTACCTTGGATCACTTAAGTTCACTTAAATTTCATGACACGGCACAGCTCAGTCATTCATTAAGATGAAAAATTTCCTGTGTCACAGAGGAGAACTGAAGCTATTGTGCACATGGCAACAGGAAAAGCAACTCAAACAGTAATGCTGAGTAGTTTGCAGTTTCTTAAGGTTTCTTATAGTTTATTACAATTATTAGAACTATTTGTATTTATAGGATAGGTGTCAGCCTGCATGTCAGCAAAAGTGAGATGGAAAGAATACATGTGTGCATGTGTGTGTGTGCGTGAAAGGCAGACAGTGAAGGTAAATGAGTTTAAATACCTGGAATCAACCATCCAAAGCAAAGACAGAAGAAAAGAGTGCAGGTAGGATGGTGATGATTTGTGAGGATGAATTGTGGTAGAAGGATAGTAGCAAAAGTGAAAGGGCAGGTTTACAAGAATAAACCCCACAGAATAATTAATTAAAGATAATTTAGTCCAGTAACTGATTTTAAAAAAGGTCATTTTCCCCACAGCAGTTTATACATAGAAACTATTTATGGCACTAGTTGTTCTTTAACAGCAGATAACCACATTTAAAGTACAATTAAGTCAAAGTCAAAGTCAAAGTCAACTTTATTGTCAATTCTGCCACATGTACAGGACATACAGAGAATAGAAACTTCGTTACTCTCAATCCCTAGATAAAATAGAAAATGAACATTTAAATATAAGAGTGATTAAAAATGCAAGTAAAACAGAGTTTGATAAGTTTTCAGCTCAGGGCACACAGGAATGATTGCGTGCTTGCTGTAATTTATTGGGATCATATAGTCCCTACCAGTCATTGCTGTGACAAACAGGGTCTACAGTTCCCGTAAAATGATTGCTCCTCAAGCAGGAATGACCATCAACAGCCCTTCTAATATAATCAAGGTGGGGTGGTGCTAAGAGAGTTATGAGCTCTTTAACAAGGTTATACCTGGGAGAATTACAACCGCCTTGACTACCATTCATTCACATTAATCCCCCAACACCCAGACAGGCAGTCGTGCCCATATGAGTCTAATAATGAAACTGATCGGTGAAGAACTGCTGAACAAAGCCTTTGCGTGACAGGCACAAGGTGGCGGCAGATCACTCCGGAAAACTCTGTGCTGGTTGGTGACGAACTGATCTGAAATCAGACAGTTAGTCACAATCCGGGTGAGCAGTGACCCGGACTGATCCAGAAGCAGCGGTTAAAGTTGTATAATTTAATGCTATTGTTAATTAATTCTTAATGGCTTTCACGTGCATCACAACCACGTTTTTAAAAAAAAATATTTTGGCACCACACTACCATACATACTACTGCATTTATGAGTTTCTGTCACGTTTCTCTGATTTGTCATTACTTGACAATCACCCCCGATTTAAAACTCTGATATTTATTCTGGAGAATTCATCCCCACGTTAAAGCATGTGACTTTGCAATGACCAGTCTTTTTTTTTTCATGTTAAGGTATCACATGTCACCACGGGGCCCATGCGGCTTCCAGTGCGGGAAGTAAAAGCACTTCCTCCTTCCTATCACAGCTGTAGTAGAGAAATCAGCCAGTCTAACAGGAGCGCTGACATTCTTGGCAATGGGGACCCTGAAGGTCGTCCGCCGCTGTTTCTGCTCACTTCCCTGCGCGTCTTAACGGTAACGGCCGATGTCACCGGGTTCAACCAGGAAAACTGATCAGTTTTTGTGACTAAAAGCGGTCGGAAGTCAGGTCTTGGTAGCACAATGGCTGCGACGTAGCGCAACTTTTTTTTCCTTTTTTTTTGGTGGATGATCGACAGCGTTCGTTGGTGCCGCAAACTTTTTACGGACTTGTAGGAAGAAGCTCACGAGACTTGCAACATGAAGAAGCAGTTTAATCGTATGAAGCAACTTGCCAACCAGACTGTTGGAAGGTAGGCTACATAACATTGTTGCAACGTGATGTCATACATTATTGTGTTAGGCCAGCGCTTCTAATTTATGTCTCCCTGTTGTCATCTGGCTGGTTTTTATTGTGGGCGGTGTCGGAGGGGCTGACCACGATTTTGTGTGATTAAAAAAATCTGGAGAATTTCTAAAGGTTTAGATTGCAGTGAAATTGTGTCAGAAGCACACAAAGCTTGTCCAGATACCAGAACAATGGTTTGTTTGTTTGTTTGTTTGTTTGTTTGTTTCAAAAAATACAAGAAGTTTGAAAAGTAGATTTTCCAGATTTGGTTTAAAAGTATGTGGCTGTAACTGTGGGAAAACATCTGAATTTAGTAGCATTAAGTAAGTGGATTCAATGGATAAATGGCTACAACAGATTTTTAAAAAATCCTTATTAATAACCTTATAATCAAATGTTCTTTTAGATTGTATAATCTATTGAACATAAAACCAATTTTAGATGAGAACAAACGGCTCTCATCTAATCTGCTGTAACAGTTCATGTACTATCACAGCTATTGCCTTTAATAAATTAATGGCTCAAATGGAGGCAATGAAAGTATGATGTCTTTCTTTAAATAGAGACGCCCTGCTTAGGATGCATGTGATACTATCAAAACATACAAACCGCATACAATAAAACAACAGTGGCAAATATTAATAAAGAGGCATCACTGTAAGGGATGGAGAGACTTAAATATATGCTAAATAGATAAATACAAATATTTCTATTTGCTCTCTATATTGCACTCTTTTAGTGTACTTGAAGGAGGCCTCGATTCTGAATTCACTTTTGTCATCAACACCTATTTAATTAAGTCTGTCAACAGTCCCCCTTGCCCTTCTGTGGACCCAAGAATGACCCCACCTTTTACTGCATTATGTACTCACATGTGCAGTGGTATATGTTCAGTTACAGGGTAGGATATGCTCACACGCATGTTACCTGATGGGTGTTGATAGGGCAAACTACGTATACCATCCTCCTTCCTGCGTCTCTGATTCAGTGTCTCCATTTGTTGCTGTATTAATTAACCAGACTGCTGTCGATTAGTTTCCAATTGATACCCTGCAGGTGCTGGCCTTAGATTCCTTGCATACATGACTCCACATGTTGTTGTGTAAGAGCAGTAAAACTCAACTGAGCAGGCAGGATGACAGCTTGCATACTGAAAGGCAAAATAGTTTGCTTGCCCACACCCACTCTGGATTACTGCTGGGCGAGTTTAACATGCAAGAAATCCTCGGGTGCCATTAATACCACATCTTAAGTAAGAGTGTGTGGGAGCTAGAAAATAAACAAACAAAAAAAAATCACAGAAAGTAGAACGAAAAAAGGTTTTCCTGCTAATAGATGCTCCAAATACAAGTTGACAGAATTGAAATTAAGCTGGCTGTGAAGATCTAGATCATAAACCAGTAAATCTGTGTCCACCCACGTG